TGAGCAAGAGCAAAAGACCCGTCTCTACTAAAATAGAAAGAATTAATGTCCACTAAATATATATAGAAAAATTAGCCAGGCATGGTGGCGCATGCCTGTAGTCCCAGCTACTGGAGGCTGAGGCAGGAGGATCGCTTTTTTTCTATATACTTTTAGGCGACCGATTAATTTCTTTCTATTTTTAGTAGAGACGGGGTCTTGTTCTTGCTCAGGCTGGTTTCGAACTCCTGACCTTGAGTTATCCGCCCGCCTCGGCCTCCCAGAGTGCTAGGATTACAGGCGTGAGCCACTGCGCAGCCAATTTAGAGAGATTTTGAGGAGGAAACAAGCACTGCTGAGGTGACTGGCCCATGTGGCCCAAGACAGGGTTTTCTGAAACTGTGTTCTGTGGAATGCTGGTCATTGTGGTCAACTTACTTTATTTAGGAAATAACATATGCTGGATCTCTTCGAGCTTCATCATGTGTAATAATCTGTTAAAGGTACTAAAACTTCCTGCAGGAGAGAAATCCATTTGGCTTTGTTTAACCCAGCAGCCACCAAACTTATACGGCCACAGACCTCGTGGTTATAGGCCAGCTGTTATCCTCCATAGACCTCATGCTTCTGAAAACCTGCTTTGGAAGAGTTGCCTGGAAGTTGGTGGATCGTCCTCCTCTAGTAACCTGCTGTTGCCCCAGGCTATCAGTTTGGGGTCAGGAAATGAGATTATGGAGGAACCCTTGGATTTTCTCGGTTTTTTAAAGGCCATTTCTGTCCTGCTAGAGCTTAAAAGAGGCTTAGAGACACCTACCCACCTTGGCTGTTGCTCAGAAGTCCAGAATCCAGAAAGCCAAGGGCTAAGCAGCCTCTTAGGCTGCTCGAAGTAGCCCAAGAGCTTGTGCTAGAGCTAGTGCAACAGGGGAGAGGGCTACAGGAGAGTGGGTTCTTTACCCTGGTCCAGAGAAATAAGTAGGAGAGGGTCCTGAATATTCCAACACTTAACCAGTCAGCTCCTCTCCCTCATCTTGTTCTGGTGGCCCCGGTGCTATTCTTTTCAGATGAAATACGTGGAAGAGGAGTTCTTGGAAATCAAGGAGACCTGGGTGCTCTTGGTGTGTATTGGGGCTACCTCAGGCCTTGGACGTCTCGTGTCGGGCCACATCAGTGACTCTATTCCTGGACTTAAGAAGATCTACTTACAGGTGAGTGGGACCACCTGACAACTGTGGGGAGGAAGAGCCTACTAGAGATGCTACAGTTGTCTCCGGCCTTTGGCATAGGACGGTAGGGCGTGCTACTGCAGCGCCCTGAGCCCCGGCTCTGACATAGGCTTGAAGCTTGTTGTGCAACACGGGAAAGTCACCGAAATTCTCTGAGCCTCTGTCTCCTCTGCATTGCACACAAAGGCCATCATCCTTCTTCTGCCTCCTTTACCAAGATGGAATGAGGATCCAGTGAGAGCCGTGTATATGGAACCTATTAGAACACTTGTAAAGGAAGGTTTTTTTTCTTTTTATCAATAACTTAGGCTCTCCATCTGAAAGGGGGAAACTGAGGCCAGGAGTTAGATGTTGCCCCCCGGTAAGAACTGATCTCATTGCTACCCAACATACTCTTGGAGAGTCTTGAGCATCTGTAGCATTCTGTGGCCCAGTGTCTCTCCTCTAGGCCCAGGCCCAGGTCCATTCCAGAGCTACTTGGCATCAAGCACTGGTTCTCAAATGTCATCCTATCCCTGGACACAAAAAAGTGCCAGCAAAGGCCGGACTTCACTTTTCCTCTCTAGGCCTCACTTTCTTCATTAGAATAATCCTTGCCTTTGCTATCTTACCTCACAGGTGAGGATCAAAACAAATATAGGTATGACCAGGCTTGGCAAGTAGAAAATGTCATGGCCATGCAAGGTTTTAATCCTTCTGACAGGGACACAGATGTCCTCATATTGTGGACAGTACCAACATGGAGACTCCAGAGGCCACTTTCTTTGTGAGCCGGGCTCTGGTCTGAGTTCAGGTTACTGCTCAAGTTGTCAGTCTTTGCCTACCTGGCAGCCATATTGCCTTTCTGACCTGGCTCATGCTTTTTGCTCCTGCAGTGGGCTTATGGAGAGGCACCCAAGTGTGGAACCCTGTGGAAGGGCAAAGGCAGCTCCAGAAAAGAAGTAGTTGCAAAGAATCCATCAGGAAGGTGGTTGAGCTCTGACTCATTTATCTCCTGGGAAAACCCTAAAAGCACTGTCAGGGGACCCTCGACTACACTCACCGTAGGGATTTATGTCTCTGATAGCCCTGAGTGCTTTCCTAAATACCCTGAGATGCCTTGGATGAGAATATGATTAACTTTCCCTGTTGAGTTTAACTCTGTGTTACTTTGCAAGAGCTGGTGAATCTGCTTTGTCGGAGCTAGGGTTGCTACTATTGTCCATCCAGTCCAACCTCTCATTACACTGATGGACAAACTGAGGGAAAGGCTCACACAGACAGTGGCAGCAGGAATTAACTCCTATGCAGCTCTCTTCTTATATTCCACTTTGCCCTAAGTGACGGATGGCAGCACCACGTCTCAGAGATAAGTGACTGGATCAAGGTCAAACCAAGGGATTATCTTGTGATTGAGATAAACCAATTATGAAATTTTGAATTGCTGTGCAAATATCAGCAAGTGCTTTATGTGGGTGACTTTTTGCATAGGAGTAATTGTGGCTTTCCCAGCCTCTCCTACATGCCACTCCTGTGGGTCTTCCCAGCCAGTATTAGCAGCTCCAAGGTGCCAAAGGGTTCTAGAAATCAGGGTAATCTGACACTGGGCCAGGACTTTATCTTGAGGAGAAACAGTAGCCTAGCCATATAGTTAATGTGATCATCAGCACAGCCCTAGGAAAGAGGTAGGGCCCAAGCAACTTTTGTTTTCTGTTATGCAGCAGGAGTTCCAGGGAGGGGAGGCATTAGCCAATTAAAGGCCGAGATAGGTTTAGGACCCAGAGTTTCTGCTGACCATTTCCCCCACCCATTGCTCCTGCCCCTTTTCCTTACTTTCATTTGGCCTATTTTTATCACTTAGAATAATATAAAATAATCTTAGAACATAATAGATGAAACATATCTTTATCAACTTGTAGTCTAACTCCCTCATTGTACAAATTGCATGTCTCAGACTGAGAGCATAAGACAATGTATGAACTTCTCCTTTCTCTTGAGTTTCTCAAGATATTCCATCACAGGAATTGGACTCCTTTTCTCTCTGGGTCAGATGCAGGAATCTAAGCCTTGGGGAGCAGAAGGAGTGTACACAGCTTCAGGTTCTAAAGAGCCATCCTCTAGAGCAGGCGTCCTCAAACTACGGCCCATGGACCACATGCGGGCCACCTAGCACATTTATCCGGCCCTCTGGGTGTTTTTGCCGCCGCTGCCTGTCCTGCTTAGCAGCCGACTCGTCCTGGGCCCACAGTGCGCATGTGTGGAATGTGCGCCGCACTCTCCAACGGTCTGAGGAACAGTGAACTGGCCCCCTGTTTAAAAAGTTTGAGGACCTCTGCTCTAGACCCTGTGGGCCCTACTATTGGTGAAGACAGGCTTATGTGTCTGGTATCAAGCCCCTGGACAATCTGTTGGAAAGGAAATGGTGACAATATTCGGGATAGCCTCACTTTGGGTCAATTCGTGAAGTCTGAGTCTCAATTCTGAGAGGGGTTTTTAATTTCTGAACCTTAGCAAGGCCTCATGGAGGATGTGAAGACATATCTAGATATAAAAGGTAGTAATTAGAGCTTATTAAAATCAGTTAATAGGGTCCTATGTGCTATATAATGGTATTTATTCTTTTTTCTTTTTTTTTGAGACAGAGTCTCACTCTGTTGCCAGGTAGAGTGAGTTGCCGTGGCGTTCAGCCCGCTCACAGCAACCTCAACTCCTGGTCAAGTGATCCTCCTGCCTCAGCCTCCAGTAGCTGGGACTACAGCATGTGCCACCATGCCTGGCTTTTTTCTATATTAGCTGGCCAATTTAATTTCTTTCTTATTATGTAGAGATGGGGTCTCGCTCTTGCTCAGGCTGGTTTCGAACTCCTGACCTCGAGCAATCCGCTCCTCGCTCAGAGTGCTAGGGTTACAGGCGTGAGCCACTGCGCCCAGCAGTATTTAATCTTAGTTGTAATGGGCTTGATCGATAGGTGGGTCTGGTTTATCTCATAGTTGTGTCTGACTCTCCTAGAGGAGAGGCAGGAGTATCTGGGTTTTTTTCTAGCTTCTGCCTAGCTGCCTCAGAGTAGCCTGGGCAAAGTTCAAAGGTACTCCAACAAAGAGTTGTCCTCAGATGGCAGTATCCTCTACCCAAATCAACCAATCAAACCCACAAACCCATTACAGCCACAACACAGAAAATCTTTAGGCATGAAACAGCCTTCACCCACTCCTTCCATGTGTTCCTACGTAAGTTGGCCTGCCTGTGTGAACATTGGAAACCTTGGGTCTGTTATGGCCTGGAAGCAGATGGTTTTACCTGGCTCTAAGATGACCTGGCTCCGTTGGCTGCAGGGGGTGGCAGTGGTGGGGAGGGTCCTTTCTCTGCCTGCAGCTCAGCTCTCAGTGTGGCTCACTGACACAGGTTGCAAATGATCTTAATCAAAAGACCAGCTATGCGTTACAGTGGCCCTTGTCTCTGGTGGACAGGGAAACCAGCCTCTAGAAAGGCGGTTACTTTGCTTTGGGTTATTTTACCCAGCCCAAAGAAAGCCCAGTAGTTGTCAGTGCTCCTGGGCTGCCTTCAGGCTCCTACACGCCTCTCCTAATGGCTTAATTCCTCTGAAAGGCCTTTCTTGCCTTTTCGGGTACCCCAGCAAAGCCCAGACACCCCAGAACTATGTCTGAAATATCTGAGATGGGTGTGTGGGCCCATTGTCCTAAAACAATAAGAACCTGGGGTGAACTTTCAATGGTCTCCATGCCAAGGTATTTTTTAAAATCAGTTCCCTGGCAAATGGAACTAGCTCCTCCCATTTCAGGAAGCTGTGCCTTCCATTCCAGTCCCATAGTCATTAATGCAAGCCACTCTCCCTTCCTCCTTCCCTCTTCCTCTTTCCTTAGATCTGAGAACACAACACTGCCTGATCCAGCCCTAATCCCTGGGCAGCCAATAAGCTCAGAAAGTAGAAACAACAATTCCCTTTATTCAGGGTCCAGTGCAAAGACAAACTTCTTGAGGCCAGGAGGCCAAGTCCAACCCCCCTCCCCCCACCTTTTTTTTTAATCCAGACAGAATCACAGTTAAGTCGGGGCTCTCTTTTTTTTTTTTTTGAGACGGATATCCGCTTTGTCGCCAGGAAGTGAGGCCGTGGCATCCACCTAAGCTCACTAGTCCTCCAACTATTGGTCATAGCCATCCTCGCTCTCAGCACTCTCGGTAGCCGGACTACAGGCAATGCGCCACCACGCCCGGCTAACTTTTTTCTATATATTAGTTGGCCAATTATTTCTTTCTTTTATATGAGGATGGGTCTCGCTCTTGTTCAGGCTGGTTCGAACTCCTGACCTCGAGCAATCCGCCTGCCTCGGCCTCCCAGAGAGCCAGGATTACAGGCGTGAGCCACCGCGCCCGGCGAGGGGCTCTCTTAAAGACTTTGAATCCCTCTATACAGGACTTAGAAGGGTCGTAAGTAACTATTTAGTCCAACTGCCCTCCCTGTTGACACCCCCCCCCCGCCCCGCCCCATTTTATAGATGGTAGAAGCGAAGACTTGAGAGAGGACATGTGATTTGCTATGTGGTCTTGGCTGGCCAACACAACATGACTACCTCGGGCCCTTGTTCCTCTCTAGGTACTCTCCTTCCTGCTCCTGGGCCTGATGTCCATGATGATTCCTTTGTGCCGAGACTTCGCGGGCCTCATCGTCGTCTGCCTCTTCCTGGGCCTTTGCGATGGCTTCTTCATCACCATCATGGCCCCCATCGCATTTGAGCTGGTGGGACCAATGCAGGCCTCACAAGCCATTGGCTACCTACTGGGCATGATGGCCCTGCCGATGATTGCTGGGCCCCCCATTGCAGGTGAGGCTGATACTCTACGGAGGGCATGAATCAGGGAGTCCCGTTTCCTCTGGGCATTAGATACCCTGAGCACCTCTGCTTGCGGCCCCCTTTCCTCTCATTCTCTGTTTCAGCAGCCTTGTCAGAGTGCATGGTACCCCTTGTCACTCACTGTTGGGAAAGAAATTAAACATAGTACATATGCATGATACATTTTGAGGGATTTTCCATGGCTGTATATCTGTTTCTATGAGGTTTTATTGTAGACAGTATGGCTTCTTCCAGGAGAGATAGAGGAAAAATGAAGTTGTGGCTTCTTTTCTTTTCTCATTTTTCTTTTTCTTTTCCTTTCCTTTCTTTCTTTCCTTTCCTTTCCTTTCTTTCCTTTCCTCCTTCCTTTCCTTTCCTTTCCTCCTTTCCTTTCTTTTTTCTTTCTTTCTTTCTCCTTCTTTCTCTTTTTCTTTCTTTCTTTTTCTCTCTTTCTTTCTTTCTTTCTTTCCTCCTCCTTCCTTCCTTCCTTCTTCCTTCCTTCCATCCTTCTTCCTCCTTCTCTCTCTCTCTCTCCCGTCCTCCCTTCCTTTTCTCCTCCTTCCTGTCCTTCCTTCTCCTCTCTCTCCCCCTCCCGTCCCTCCCTTCCTTCCTCCTTCCTCCTCTCTTCCTTCTTCCTCCTTCCTCTTTGTCCTCTTCCTCCTTCTTCTCTCTCTCTCTCCCCCTCCCTCCCCTCCCTCCCTCCTTTCTTCTTCCTCCTTCCTTCCTCTCCTCTTCTTCCTTCTTCCTTCCTTCTTCCTTCTCTTCCTTCTTCTCACCCCTCCCTCCCTCCTCCTTTCTTCCTTCCTTCCTTTCCTTCTCTCTCCCTTCCCTCCCTCCCTCCCTTTCTTCTTCCTTCTCCTTCTTCCTTCCTTCTTCCTTCCTTCTTCCTTCCTTCCTTCCTTCCTTCCTTCCTTCCTTCCTTCCTCTCTCTCTCTCCCCTCCCTCTCTCCTTTCTCTTTCTTCCTTCTCCTTCTTCTCTCTCCTCCTCTCCCTCCCTCCTCCTCCTCCTCCTCCCTCCCTCCTCCCTCCCTCCCTCCTCCCTCCCTCCTTTCTTCTTTCTTCTTTCTTTCTTTTCTTTTTCTTTCTTTTCTCTTTTTCTTTCTTTCTTTCTTTCTTTCTTTCTTCTCTTTCTTTCTTTCTTCTTTCTTTCTTTCTTGGATCTTGCTCTGTTGCCAGGCTGAATGTCATGGCTTAGCCTAGCTCACAGCAACCTCAAACTCTGGCTCAGCGATCCTCCTCTCCAGCTCCCGATAGCTGGGACTACAGGGTGCACTACCATGCCTGGTTCATTTTTTTCCATATATTTTTAGTTGTCCATATAATTTACTTTCTATTTTTAGTAGAGTGCGGCGTCTCACTTCTTGCTCAGGCTGGTTCAAACTCTGACCTGAGCGATCCCTCCAGCTTGGCTCCGAGATGCTAGATTACAGGCATGAGCCACCTCACCCAGGCGAGTTTGGCCTTCTTGATCATTCTATTGATCCAATATCCTCTCTCTCCATGGGCAAGCGATTATTTGCAAGGTAGTTGGGTAGGAAGAGAAGAGAAAGTGGGCCCTGGTTTTATTAAAAGCTAGAGACACCCTTCTCCTCCTCTGCTGGCTTCTGAACTAAGCCTGTAGAAGAGATTTGATTAAGGTAACACCCAAGAATTAAGCCAATAAGGCTCCCCTTCAGTAAGTTGTAGGCAAAAGTGTTGACTTGCCATCTTTCAGCACTCCTAGTTTCTCCTTCCACTCTCCCAGAAAGGGATTGTGGGTATCTCAGGGAACATAAAACGAATGAAAAGAGACCTGCATTTCCTTTCTATAGGATTTATTGCAAACACTGACTCATGGGTTAGTCTCTCCTAAGCTAGTCAGATGGGCTATTTCAACAAATACTCCTTGAAAACCAATTATATGCAAGGCATTGTGAGGGTACCATGGGATGGGGCAAAAGCTTCCATTTAGGCTTTTTGTGCAACAGCCACACTGCCCACTGGGGAAGCAGAACCTCTACCCAGCCCCTGATTCTTAGAGTGCCCCAGAACCCACATCTCTTTCCATTTGGCTTAACTTCTGAGTAATTACAGACCCAAGGGCCTTCTTGCCTTTCCTGAATATTGTTTCTGGGCTCTGAGGTATTAATACTCTCAGGTACCTCACGTTATCTTTTGGAGGTGAACAGGGGAGGCCTTGCATCCCATGCTAAACATATCCATAGTAATGGCAGCTCAGAGGAACCCAGAGGGGCTATCCATATCTATAACAGAAAGGAAGATATACACATATGCAATGGAATTCCAAGAAAGGACACTTCAGAGAAAAGACAAATAGGAACTCAGCTGAATTGGTCCACAAGAACAATTTGGGGGGAGTAGGGGGATGGGGAGTATTACTGTGAACCAAGGCAAGCAAGGCTTGGCCATCTTCTGCAGTTCTTCTAGACTAGGTTTCTTCCTAACTCCATACAACTAGATAGCTGTAGCTCGATGAAAGGCACAAATGGAGATACTTTAAGAGAAGCTTCATTAGCTCCTTTCATAATGAGCATTCATTCACCTCAAGGGCCTGCAACCCCAGGACCTCAGGGATGAGCTGCCTGCCCTTGACGTTTAGGGAGCTCCCAAGTCAAGGCAATACAGACCAAGATTCTCTGGATAGATAGGCATTGTTTTAGCCCCTTAGAAGCAGTAGAGAGCACCTTTGGGCGATAGGGCAAAGCTGAGCTTGACTTCTCTCTCTTGACTATTTCAGGCCTCCTCCGCAACTGTTTGGGGGACTACCACGTGGCCTTCTACTTTGCCGGTGTGCCCCCTATCATCGGGGCTATAATCCTCTTCTTCGTCCCTCTGATGCATCAAAGGATGTTCAAGAAAGAGCAGAGAGATTCCAGCAAGGATAAGATGTTGGCCCCCGACCCGGACCCCAATGGGGAGCTACTGCCAGGCTCCCCCATCCCTGAGGAACCAATCTAACGCCTTTTTCTTGCCATTGTGTGCTCCTCCCCAGCCCTTCCCCTTCTTCCCACCCTGCTCAGCATTTACATGTTTGCCACCAGCACACTTGTTCCCAAACCTGTGCACACAGCGTTTCAGCCACCTGATAACCCCCTTGGAGCTAAAGCTCCAGGTGTTCCAAACTCATTAACCAAATTCTCCCCATGAATGCCTTTAAACTTGCCAGGGCCCTTCTCTTCCCAGGGATCTGGGAAGGCGTGGGATCATCTTCTGGCCTTTGGAACCTCTCCATATAGTTCCTAAGCCCTGGGAGAGGAGGAGGATGTGATCTCTTGGCCCCAGCTGGTTAGTCACCCACGAAAATCAACCGCCAAAGGTGCTACTGTGTCCCCAAGAGCCTAGTGGGGGATACCCAAGCCTCTGTTTGCTGAGGAGTTCATTGCCATCCATTTTTTGGGAGCCCATGGGGGGAGCAGAAAGGCAAAATGAGACAAGGAGCTTTGTTTAGCCTTAGAGTTTCCAAAGGCTCTGGCTTCCCAAGAGCTGTGTACAGGCAGTATCCCCAAAATATGGTTGGTTAACAGTCTGCTCCCCTCTTCCCTTCCTTCTTTTTCGCTCTACTGTCTTCTCTCTCTTCTCTTCCCCTCTATTTCTTTCTATGACTGTCAAAACACATGGGTCCTGGGAGAAAGGAAGGACCCAACCCAGAGCTTGGGCAAATCAGCCTCACCTTGGCCCTGTCCACCCCTAACGCTAGCCTAATGCCACTCATCTCAGGCTGAGCCACATCTCACGTTTTGGCTCCAGCTGATATAATCCTAGACTGGAAAAGTAGAATACCAAATAGGGAAGGGACCTTAAATACTACAGAGTTCCATGTTCCACTCGCTGATTTTTACAGATTTCCCAGGCCAATGCATTTATCTGGAGACCCTCCCAGCTCCCCCATCCTCATATCTACCTGTCAAAATGTGAAGAAACCCCTTTCATCTCAGCAGGCAGAGGAGGACAGATGACAGAGAGCTGGCATGGTGGGAGTAGCAGCAGTGCCTATTGACATGGTAAAGGACCAACTCCTCCATGTCTCAGTTTTCATAATAGGTCAATATTTTCACCTGGGCCAGGCCAGAATAGGGCTGTTCCATTCCTAACCTGGACCCCAAAAAGGTACAGGCAGCAGCTGCACATAGGGTTGGACAACTTCATTTAGGAAAGGGAAGCCATCCTAGCTTTTACCACTCAATCTGTCCGCCATGCTGGGCATCCTAGACCACTCTGCTTAGTGGGCATTAAAGGTGCCATGAAAGGTAGACTCTGGACCACCTTCACGTCTCTGAAGTAGGTCCCAGATGTTCCCTATGCCCAGGCTCTGGGCAACAGTCTTACTGAAGACCATTCCCAGTGCCCTTGGCTCGGAGCACAGGGCACTGCCAGGCTGCGTCCAGCTAGCACAGCTCACCTCATTAGCAGCTCAGCCTTTCTCCTCACTCCGCCTCTCTGTGTCTCTTTTTCCACTCTCTGGGCCTTTGTCTATTATATTCCTGTCACCCACCCTTTCAACATCTTTCTTTGCCAGGCATTCCTGGCTGTCACTTGGAGCCAACAGTAACTTGCCACCCCAAGCCAGGGTCACCCCAGGGCCAGAAGGATGAGGCTGCCCTGAGGGGCTCCAAAGAAGACGACGGTCCCCACCCATAAGTTTTCCGTTACAAACAGGCAGCTGGGGCATGGTTGGCCTCTGATGGTTTCTTTCAAGGCCTAAGTCCTGAGCCCCCTCCGCTGGTCCCAGTCCAGCTCTTATTAACTCCCCAAAGGAAAACCCACTGGTTCTTGGCTCTGCGAGCAGAAAGGGGGGGCTGAGTTACTATCCTGTCAGCTGGAACAGCAGTGGGACAGGAGAAGCTGGGCCCCAGGAGCCCTGTAACTCCCAGGAGAGACCACTGAAAAAACTGGAGCAATGCTGTCCCTGCTTCCATTCCTCCCTACCCCACCCCACTGAGTCAGCGGAGGGCGATTCTGCAGGGCCTCATTTGTTGCTCATGGCCAGGTAGCTCTTAAGAATCAGGCTGCCACTGACTTCTCTCCAGATGAAGGGAAGACATTCACAGGTCCCAAATCTGCCCATCCAGGTCTCACACAACATCGTGGGGTGTCAATTTACTTCTTCCACACATGTGGACGCGCATGCATGAGCTCGTGTGCTTTTGGAGAGAACGTTTGTTGGCAAAAGCAGCACAGTATTAATATTTAGAGTAGGATGCAGCCTCTTATGCACCACCATTCAATCTAGGAGAACGAACAAAAATGTCAGAGCTTGAGACATGGGACATTTAAATCCTCAAGGGGTTTGGAACAAAATAAACAGATCTAAAAATTTGGTTTTGGTATGTATGTTGCCTGGTTAACAGCAGGAAGTTTGGCTTCAGAACTGACATCTCATTTTCAAATCAAAGCTCTGCCAGGGTCTGTGCTCTCTGAGTGTGGAGACTAGAAAAGGAGCTATATAGAGATTTGGAGTTGCGTGGACTGTTTGAGCTTGATTTTGAAGGGAGCTCTGAATTGGAAAAGTGGTTACTTGAACAGGGGTCCTCAAACTTTTTAAACAGGGGCCAGTTCACTGTCCCTCAGACCGTTGGAGGGCCAGACTATAGTTTTAAAAAAACTATGAACAAATTCCTATGCACACTGCACACATCTTATTTTGAAGTAAAAAAACAAATGGGCCAAATCACCCACATGTGGCCCACGGGCCATAGTTTGAGGACACCCGCTTTACAAAATGAGAACATGATTACTGGCTGAGTTGGAATGGAGGCCCCACCAAGGCCACCACCTTGTTACAAACGTGCCATGTTGAAAATGAGCCAAGACCTTAGCAATAATCCGATCCAACCCTTCTTCCACCTCTTTTATGTTATTGACGAGGAACCTGAAGGGACTGGTGGAGTTGGGTGACACAGACCGGCAGTGACAAAGCCTGGAATTGAGGGTGATGCAGGGAAGAGACCTATAAGAATGACAAAGCTGGGAGTAACCTTAGAGTCCCCTTTGTCCATACTCTGCATTAAATTTAAGTGGGGAAACTGAAGCCTAGAGGTAGGAAGGGACCGCCACAGGGTCACACAGGGGAAAGTGACTTGCACCTTCATTCCACAATTATGATGTAGCAAGCCCATTCCAAAATGGCGTCAGCAGGACTAGCTCTGAGCAAAAATGACAAAGTCTGACTTTTACCATACCCCATCTCTTCACCATTACCCTCACCCACAACCAACATACTTTTGGTACTCTAACTCCCAGGCAGTCTACAGACCTTCATACGGCCTTGACCTTGGAGGCCTAGTTTCATCTGCTGCCCCTCCAGCCCCAGCAACTCAAGAGGTACAAATAAAGTCCACCTCCTTATGACCATATACTGGGCAGGGCAGGGGCAAAGAGAAGGGACTGGTTTACTTTGGGAGAGGGTGGTTTATCACCCAGCTCTTGGCTATTGTCCATTCTCCCCTGACTCAGTGCAGACATCCTGGGGCTACAGGCTCCTCACCTCCTCCCACTGAGGCTAATTACTCAGTCCTGCTGCCAGGCCCTCACTTTGCCACCCAAGGTCTGCTGCCCCCTCAGTCCCTCCCTCAGCAGCCCCAAGGCTCAGTCTGTGTTTGATCACTCAGGATCATTAGATTTCAAAGTGATGGAATCCCATAATTGTTCTGAGCACATGCTCTCTCCTCCAGGGCCTTTTCATGTCTGAAAAGGCAGCCAGCAGTTTCCTGCCACTTAATCCACAGTAGCAGAGCAGGCCAGCTGACAAAGATTACAAATCCCGGGTGTCTCACAGCTGGCGCCTGATGGGGTAAGTGACAGGTAGACCAAGAGCCCTTGAAGCGAGTTCGGAAATTTGAATAAATTGAAATGAAACAGAGACAGCCGAGGTGCAGAGGAAGGGATTAGGCAGTCAACTCCTGCAGGGGTGGAGGAAGCCTGGCCGTAAAAAGGGCCCTTCGATTCCTGCCTTTCAGCTCTCTCTAGTGGTCACCAGAAGGAAAGCTCCATGCCTGGTTTTCAAGTCATTTCAGCAGTATGTTCTAGAGGCCTGCTGTGTGTCAAGGCACTGTGCTAGAACCCAGGGACTTCAGGAATGAAAGGAACAGAAGTAGAGGAGACAAAGAGAACAACGCAAGAAGTTGTGTGTACTATCTTCTTCTCAAATTACCTTTTTCTTCTCTGGGCTCCAGTGCCCGCAGCGTACCGACCTCCTCCGTGCCCCAACTCTGTCCTCTCTGGGGCAGGACCCAGGGCCACCACGGCCACCAGCAGAACAGAGGCGGCAGCATTCCCCATCCCACCCCCTTCCTCTCCTCCAGACTGGCCCGGAAGAGCTACTCGCGCCTCAGCATTGGTTTCCTGCGGAGCCCCAGCGGGATAAAATTAGCCCATTGCTCACAGTGACAAGTGTCAGAGCCCGTGTCCAGCGTGGGGGAAGGGGAGGGTGGAGCTGAGCCTGGCCAGCTGTCTGGCAGTCAGACCGACGGACAGCAGCTGCAGTGGGTGCAGGCTCAGCCCCTCTTCACCGCCGCCCTTGCGCCCTGCCAGGAGCTGCAGCGGCCACCACGCCCGTCCCTGCTCCCCGCGAGCCCAGAAGACGTCCCCGCTGGTCGGTGGAGACACCTGCCATGCAACCCCCGCCGCCTCTCCTCCCCCCACCCCGCCCCAGCCCGTCCCCAACGTCCAGGGCCGGGATCCCCTGCCACCCAACCCGCGCCACCTCTCCTCCCCCCCGCCCAGGAGCCCGTCCCCAACGTCCAGGGGCCGGATCCCCTGCCACCCAACCCGCTCCGCCCATCCTCCCGTCACCCTGCCAGCAGCCGGTCCCCAACGTCCAGGGGCAGGATCCCCTGCCACCCAACCCGCGCCGCCCCTCCTCCCCTCCTCTGCCAGCAGCCGGTCCCTAACGTCCACGGGCGGGATCCCCTGCCACCCAACCCGCGCTGCCTCTCCTCCCCCCACAGCAGCCCGTCCCCAACGTCCAGGGGCCGGATCCCCTGCCAACAACCCGCCCCTCCTCCCCTCCCCCCCCAGCAGCCCGTCCCCAACCTCCAGGGGCGGGATCCCCTGCCACCCAACCCGGGCAGTCCCTCCTCCCCTCCCCCGCCAGCAGCCGGTCCCCAACGTCCAGGGGCAGGATCCCCTGCCACGCAACCCGCCGCCCCTCCTCCCCTCCCCTGCCAGCAGCCCGTCCCCAACGTCCAGGGGCGAGATCCCCTGCCACCCAACCCGCGCCGCCTCCCCT